TTATTTAATAATACATACAAATTATAGTACCAAATGCAATTTGTTTATTTTTATTTTCTCATTTATTTATTTTAGTGACAAATAACATGTTATAAAAATAATTTATCGATTCAATTATTATAACAAATCGGATCAGATTGTCATCTGATCAGATGGTTATTGATGATGAGAATGTGATGGATGTGAAAAGATTGAAAGATTTGAAGAAAACAAACATTTTTGTTGGATAACTTGTTTTGACAAGTTTACCCATCAATTAAGATGTCATTTGAGTTAAAATTACTACTTCAACGTTGACTAATGATTTTATGGATGAAATGCGTGAAATTGACTAAAGCTGTAATTATATATAAAGGATTGAGACTTCGGCCACAAAAATTAAAGATTTGGGTGTAATTTGCATCAAAATGAAAGGTTTGGGACCAGCGCTGTAATTTTTATAGTCAAAATTACTGTTGAAACGTTGACTTGGGACTTCGGTTGCGAAAATAAAAGATTTTGGTGTAATCTGCAATAAAATGAAAGGTTTGGGACCACGGCCACAATTTTCCCTTTATTTAAAGGGACAAATGGGCCAATCCTAAAATTTAGTGTTTATTCCTTGGTGAAACCACACCAATATAGAGTATTTATAAAAAAAGTGTTTGCCAGGATTTCTTTTAAGAGCTCATAAATTTTGAGTCTACAAAATATATGGATCATAAGTAGATAATAAGTTAAAAATCTTACTGATTTATGAATTAAAAGTATATTTCACTATATTAAGAAAATGGTTATTAGCACAAAACGTACATACGTTTGAAATTTATTGTTTAAAACGTTTCAACATTGCATTTGTTTGCATTTTCACCTCTATTTGCACCTTTCATTACAGCAATCATCATTTTTATTCAATTTTTCCATAAAAGTTGTGAAATGATAAATATATCCACATATTTAAATAAAATAAAATAAAAATAAAAGAAAATAACTAATTGCGACCATACTACCAAATTTTTTCAAAAAAGAACAAACGGATTCCAAATAAATTATTAAAAAAATTAGAAAAAGTAAAAATAAAAAAATTCTCTTTCATGAGCTCCCATTGATAACCGAGACATGGAACAAAGGGTCTTCAGAATTTCCATAAACTTGGCCCCCTTTTCAAATGAGTAATGCTACTTGCAGTCGCTCACTGCAACAGTCGTCCTATGTGGTACACAAATGTCATGTAATTATTTGATGCATTAATGTGGTAGTTTTTTACCACATTTAATGTATCAAATACACACTTGACATGTGTGTGTCACATGGGACGACTGCAAGTAATATTATTCTTTTCAAATGAGGAGTCAAATTGTCGAACCATTAAAATTGGGGTGGGTTTGGGGGTTCAACGATTACAAGGACCATAAGTGGTGGGGGTCAAGGAAACAAAGTGATTAGAATCCCCTTTACACGGATGTGAATGGTGGATTGAAGGATAGGGAGATAGAGAGTTCTTGATATAGAAATTGAACAAGGGTTTGAAAATGGAGACTGTAGCTAGGAATTTGAGTGTGAATAAGAAGAATTTGAGTTAGGATTTTGCTATTGTGTGATGAAATTACTGGGACGAGAAGTTGAACACTCCATGACGATTACTCCTTGGAAAAATAGCTAATAGGGTTCGAGAAAATGAAAGTTGATCTCTTTTTCAATGGGAAATTTGGCTAAATAATCCCACTAAACAATGATTTTGGAGAAATGACATTTGACCAACATTGAAATAGAATTAAAAAAAATTAAAATGTTTTAATGGTAAAATGACAAAGTTGTCCTTCAATTTATATCAAATTATTCACCTAACTTCTTTCATTTCAGTTTATTCTTTCTTTTTCATTTCACATTCTTCTTTCTTTTTCATTTTCACCTGTTTTCAGCCGCCACATATGGAGCCCAATTCCACCACTTTTCAGCCACCCAAACCATCGGACTCCACCACCCGTAACCTCGTCTCACTCCCATCTACAACTTATAACCAATCATTATCCACGAAACTACCAGAATCAACAACAAACCAATCCAAAAAACCAATTATCGCGCACTCTTCTTCTGTCGGAAAACCTGTCTTCGACGACACCCATGGTCGCGCACTACCACCAGTGGATAGCACTCACCCAGACAACGAACACCATGACCTAACATCGACCAATAATGCACCAATTCGATTTGCTATTGCTCAAAAAGGTCCGCAGTCGCGATGCCAAATTTGCCAGATTTAATTGCTATTTCTTGCGATGTAAAACGACACTACAGTCGTTATCTGCAACGTAAAACGACACTACAGTCGTTATCTGC